TAGCTGGGTGTGGTCATGTGACTGAATTCCAACCAATAGGATGTGAGCAAAAGTGATTATGCCATTTCCAGGCCATGCCCTTAAAAGGAAGGAGTGTGCAGTCTCCCTCCCTTTCCCCTTCCTCACTGGCCAGGAGGCAGCCATGGCTGGAGCTGGAACAGCCACCTTGAGACGCAGAGATGGAAGCCACATGTTGAGACTGGCTGAGACTACCAGCTCTGGTTGCTTACCTTTGGACCACTATGTAAGAGAGCGCAAAACTTCTGTTTTGTTTAAGTCACAGTATTTTGGGGTCCTCTGACCACCTGAACTAGACTCCAAAGTAATATAGCTTCATGCCACCACCTATGACCAAAAGCCCATACTTCATTATGTGTACTTGGGTTTCCTTATTTCAACTTTTACATTTTATGTTTTCCTTTTAAAATTTTAAATTATTAGCTAGTGGTTTGTCTAATTTTTCTTTTTCAAAGAACCAGCTTTTAGATTTATTTATCCTAGTGTAATTGGAGTTTAAAGATTATTTTTGCTATCTTCATCTTGGAATGAATTTCTAGCCATTTGTGGAATTATTGGGTCACATTCTTTTCCCTGCAACATTCTTTCTACATTGTTCCATTGTCTTAGGCCATCGAAAACTGCCATAAAGAAGCCTGAGGCCAGTCTCATTGTATTCCCCTGGGCAGGGTGGTTGTCTGCTTCCTCCATCTGGAGGTTCATAGTGGGGCGCTTTAGTGATCCCTAAGATTTAGGAACTTTACGAGACCAATTCTGGTCTCAATGGTTTCTTTGCTCAGTTTACCTGGAATATAGTAAATCCTGTTCATTTACCAAACTGGTGGGGGGGGGGGGCGTGTTTCAGAAATGACTTTTTCTCTTATGTTTTTGACTACTTTTTAAATTCTATTTGTTCCCTCTTCATCAGGAACTCTACCTGCCTTTTAGATCAACATACATGTCTTACGTAGTTATCGTTTTCCTTCCAGTTACTTGGTCTCTTCGCCCTTCTTTACTCTGTTCTGTGTGATATTCTCGAGCCCGTCATTCTTCACTCACTCAGTTTTCTGTCGTGCCAGCTCTGCTTCCTCTGGATTATAATGTCACTTTTAGACTTTTAATGTTTTTTTTTCTATTTCTTTCCTCACCTTCCCAGTCTATTTTCATTGAATTTTGGTACCTCTGATTCTGTTTGTTTTATAAGGTCCCATATTGTATTTAATTTCCTTGAGAGTACAGAAAAGACTCTTTTCAAAAACTTTGTTCTATTTCCTGGCATCATTGTTCCTCTGATAAGTTTTCTTTATATGTAATTTCCTACTGATATTATTTGAGATCCCATGGTAGCTCCATACAAAGAAGTTGTGATTATTTTAATTAAAGGAAAACAATATCTGCATCCACCAACCCTTTATATATGACTTCTACTTCGCAGGGAATATCGTTGCCAAAGAAGCAACCCGCATACCACCAGGAAGCAACCAGACAAATCCAGAAGGAGGGACACTCTGTGGGGCAACTGACTCAATTGCTTCTACTAGTAAGTGTCCTGAAAAGGGACTGCGCTAGAGCAGAATAAACAGAGGGGAACACGTGGGCTCGGTTTGGATCCTGATTTGGATAAAGCAAGGGTAAGAATAATTGGAGTTCATTGTAGAAATGTTGGTGTGGCCTGGAAATCAAATGAGATGCAATGCAATGAGAGTACACCAAAACACAAAGGTGGAGTGTGACTGAATGAAACGGGTCATGAAAAGGTCATAAACGTTTTTTAGAGTATGATCTCATTTTGGTGCACACACAGAGGTAGTTGTTACAGTCATGTTTCCTGGGAGGTGGGAATGTGCCGTTCTTTTTAACTTGTCTGTATTTTCTAATGTTCTACAGAGCACATGCACTGCTTACGTAACAAAGCTCTTTTTCATACTGACACAGATTTGCACGGGACGGGTTTAGCATGAAGGGAATAAAGCTTAAGTTTCAGGGCCCCTTATTCACACGGCTCTTCCAAGGGCAATTTTGTGTCATACTTTGTGGGATTTTTAAAATTTTTATCTTTTGCCCTGGCTGGTGTAGCTCAGTTGACTGAGTGCAGGCTGCAACTCAAAGAGTTACCGGTTCGATTCCCGGTCAGGGCACATGTCTGGGGTGCAGGCCAGGTCCCCAGTGGGGGCCACGTGAGAGGCAACCACACATTGATGTTTCCCTCCCTCTCTTTCTCCCTCCCTTCCCCTCTCTAAAAATAAATAAATAAAATCTTTAAAATAAAGTGTTAAAACATTTTTTATCTTTTATGTTCCAACACTTTTGATTGTGGTAAAAATGTACTAGGTAAAATGTGCTATTTTACCTACTTTTAGGTGTACAGGTCAGTGGCGTTACGCACATTCACGTTGTTATGCAGCTGTCACCTCCACCCATTTCCAGGACTTGTCACCTTTCCAAGCCAAAACTCCCTGCCTGTGAAACAACTCTCAACTCTCCCCTCCCTCCAGTCTTTTCCATTTTTAAGAGTCTCCAAAATTGTATAAGCTGTAAACCCAAAACCTGGGTCCAGTCCCAACTGGCAACCAGAAATCCTGGTCATTCCTGAGCAATCTTTGAAATGATACCTGAGACTGCCACCGTGACGTTAGCCTCAAACCAGAGGATAGCTGACATAGTTCAGGAGACTGTCACTAAAGTGCTCATCACAGAATGTGCAAAAGACAAGAACTGTGGCAGCATCAACAGCACTGAGCACACAGGAAGGCAAACGCAATGAGTTATTCATGTTATTGAAATATGTTCTTATACAACTTTCCCCAGAAGGTCCTAATTTCTCATAAATTAACCATCATTTCTTAATTGCTTAGAATTATTGATAAACAGTACCATCATTTCCTGTAAAACTGGTCCAGAAGAGTTGATAGTAGTTTTATGTAGTTGTATCAGCTAGTTTTAAGACTGGCTTAATGTAACAGAAAACTCTAATTTATTTCTCTCATGCATAAAAGAAGTCTGGAAGTACACATTCAGACTAGTACGGTAGTGTCATGATTATCAAAGAACTGGAGCCCCTTTATCTTTTTTTGGCAGGCGGGGGGGGGGGAAGCTTTTATCTTGCTACAGTACCATTCTTATATGCTGCTTTGCAACCCAAAGGGCTGCTCAAGCTCCAGCCATCAAGTCTGTATTCCAGCCAAAAGGAAAAAGCAATAAGTGAATAAGAGCACACCCCTTCCTTCAATGATTCCTCACAGAAATTGCACCTAACACTTGAGCTTACATCTGTCTTGCCAGAATGTATTCATATGGCTTTACTTAGTAGTAAGGGAAGCCAAGAATTGTAGTATTTATTCTAGAAACTTGTGCCTAGTCAGAAATTCTATGAGTAAAGGAATGGAGAGAATGGATAATAGGATCTACAACTGAGCATGTGTCAAATGGTTTTTTAAAGGATATAGTGTGCTAGTTTTTGAGGTTTGCTGGGGGCAGTTAGGAAGGGGTGGAATCTTAAACCACCATTTGTACCACTGCTTAGTGTTTTCTTTGGAGCAAACAGCTCACCTCCTCACAGTGAGCTTTCTGGACATGGTGCTGAAGCCTTCCTCCACACACCACAGAGTGGGTCAATAGGCTTCTCTGAGGAAAGGAAAGAGGCATTTTCCCAATTGAAGGGGACTTTTGAATGTTTCAATAGCCAAATACATCTAATTCATATATCTAAGCCAACAAGTTTTACTGTTGTAGGTAAGCTTTAACTGCGAAATCGTCATATCAGCGTACTAGTTGCCATCATTTCTGTGCTGTGTGTTTCCAGGGAAATGTACAGCACAGGACGTAGACTCTGACCCCTTCCTTAGGGAACATAACGATGGGGGACATTTTCCCCACGTGGTGAACGAAAGAAAATGAGGAAGGTGAGTGCGGAAGTTGCTTTACCAACCAGGGAGCTCTTACAGGTGCTTGCACAGCAGCACGATAGAAATGACACCAGGTGAGGGGCTGATGGAACCACATGATCGCATGACCTCATGACCTTTCAGCACTCTACCTGACTTGATAAATTCATCATATCAAAATAAATCTTCAAGCTTGTACATTGCAGATATGGGTTGTCAAATTGCCTTTCTAAATTGATCACCTTTGACCTTGATGGTCAATGCATTATTTAATAAATTCTGAAATTTTGTCCAAATTGGAGTATGATTTCTCCTGGAAATGGACTTGAGTGGTGGGCAGTCAGCTTGGTCCTTTGGCCCTGACCTAGAAGCCCCGGGACTCGGGCTCTTTCTCCCTCTCGCTCAGGAATAAGGAGCACTGTGGCTCGGAGAGTGACAACCGCCTGTTGATCGGCAGAGCTGCTCATCGGGGTCCTACTGCTCCGAGCTGGCACCCTCACAAAGCCAGCCTCTGGGTAAGAATCTAATGACCTCTACTGCTCCTTCCGTTTGACCTGCTAAGGGACATGCGCCTGAGGAAGTAAGCGGCCAGCCATAGGGAGACACCTACAACTCCTCCCATGACCGGAAAGCCTACTGCAGATACACCAGAGTATGTGGAGCTCACATTGTGTGAAGCATGGGGAGGCTGGGTTTTAAATAACCAGCCCTTAAAACTCTTCTGCAGGTAGGTTGCTTTAAGAGTAAAGGGGTGCTGAAAGGCAGGGAGGGTGTTTTCCTGTTAGCAGCAGAAGGAGCTTCCCAACAGCCTTCCTTCCTCACTTTCCGCCTGGCTCACTACCTTCTAGAGGTAGTGAGTTCTGGGGGAGCCGTGTCCTCAGGTTCCAAAAAGGGCTGGAGAATATCAGGGCAGCAACCAGTCAGCCAAGCACTCTGGAGGAAAAGGGAGGCTCCTGCACATTTCCCTTTCCTGCAGGCTTGCCCTGTTTTTTCATGATGTCATGTATTCATCATTGTGAGCTGATTGGTGGCCCCAGGCCTTGGCCAGCTGCCCGAGGTCAGAAGGGCAGAGAGAAATCCCAGGACAAATGTGCAGCAAGCCCCTGAACATGTGTGGAAATGTCATCAGTTCCACCTAGCAAGACTTGGTGGAAATCGAAGACAGTAAAAGTTAAAAGATCCTATTCATCTTTTCCTTTCCTGAATGCCTGGGAAGAATTCAGGGGCCTCTTGCCTGTGGATAGAGAACCAAACCCTGGAGTGGGCCTGGGTGTGGAGGAGGGACTGCTCTGCCAGATGGTTCATTCTCCAGAATTCAACCTGTTTCCTGACTCCGTGGTGTTTGAAAGCAACTTTGTCCAGGTACTCTGGGGTCCCACGAATGGCACCCCTCAATTCTTCTAAATCTGTTCCCAAGATGTGACCAGGAGAGTGTGTCCCTGAAACTGGAGTGAGACAAAGGGCAGTCAGTGGGCCTGGAATGCAAGGCCACCCGCATTTGACCTTGACTTTGCAGCACCCCAGATGTGGCTTCTCCTGACGACAGCTGTTGCCCCCGGGGGGAGAGGCCAGGTGTCCTCTGCTCTGAGTGGAGGGTTTGGTGTCTGCATCCCCCAATTTACTTCCACCTCCAGGCTGTCAGCCCAAAGCAGTGGTCAAAGAGGCGGGGAAGCCAGATGCCCTCTGAGGGCTTGGAACAGAAATGCTGATTGTCAGAGAACGGAAAAGGGGCCCCCAGAGACCCCTGGGGCTCAGAGTGCAGTGTGCTGCACTCTTGTCAGGAAGCATCACTGTGCAAGGGGCCTGGGCACCCTGGATCCCAGTGTCCTCTAATGGAAAGGGGTCAGGCTGACCTGAGGATCAGATGCAAACACAGGGCAAAGGCCTTAGTACAAGGGGCACTGGGTGCATGTTTGTTTCCCTGCCTGGGCTCCCTGCAGGGAAGTTGCAAGGGACCTTACAGTGCAGGGGAGTGCAGGAGATTCTAGGGCCCTTCAAGGAAGGGCCAAAGGACATTTTTCCAAGAAAAGCCAGAAAACAGTCTAGGGAGGATTCATGGAAATGTGACACATGCCAGGAAACTCCTGGGTGATAATTCTTGTGGGCAGCTGCTAGCCGCAGGCAATGTAAATACTGCTAGTTATTTAACCAATAGGAGCTGAAACAGCGGTTCTCGCCTAGCAATGATTTGCCTTCCAAAACCAGAGAACATGGGCCCTGCCCAGGGTGGCCCAGCTGGTTGGGCGTCATTAGATTCTGGGTCAGGGCACATGCCTAAGTTATGGGTTCAACCCCTGGTCAGGGCATGTACGAGAGGCAACCGATCGTTGTTCCTCCTCACATCAATGTTTCTCTCCCTCTCTTTTGCCCTCCCTTCTCTTTTAAATAAGTGAGTGAATGAATGAACGAATATTCAAAAATCAGGGAACATTTGGCAGTGTCTAGGAGACATTTTTGGTTGTCACAATTTGGGCGGCGGGGGGGCTTTCCTACTGGCATATCTTGTTGGTAGAGGCTGAGGACTCTGCTAAACACCCTGCAGTACACAGGACAGCCCCTCCCCAAACAAAGAATCACCCAGTCCACAGTGTAAATATTGCCGAAGTTGAGAAACTCTCAGCAGAAACACACTGCTGCTTCTGCCGAATGCTCAGGCTGTGCCCACGGGGCTGCTTTGCAGGTGAAAAAGGGCAGGAACTGGATTGACATCTACAAAGCCTCCTACACCATGGCCCTTGGCGTGACCTCCTCTGTACCCTGCCTGCCCCTTCCCAACATCCTCCTCATGGCCAGTGTCAAATGGCGCCGGGGGCAGAGCCAGACATGGAACAGACCATCCATGGCCCCAAAAATCATCTTGAAGAGGTAAGCAACACCAATGGGAATGAAGGACAAGCAGGGGGAGGGGCGGACCCAAAGCAAAGGCTGCTTTGTGACAAAACTCAAGGTAGGAGAAAGCAGAGGAGCTGTCAGCAGTGACGTTGATTTTTTTAGACCCCAGTAACCTAAGACAGTGGACATGCAGAAGCATCCTGGTCAGGTAGAGGCATTGCATGGACAGGAATGAGGGGCCAATCTACACGCTCAACCTTTCTTCTCACTGCACTCACCCCACTGAGTTCTTGGGAGATCTCTCTACCAGGGGCAAGGAAACCGTGAGATGCAGCAGGTGCAGCATAGGTTGGGAGCTGCAGGTTCTAGTCCTTGGTGTACAACTGAAGAGACTCATAATGTTTGAGTCATAAGTTACTTGCTGCAGCTCAGTTTTCTTACCAGTAAAATGAGTGGAACTCAGTGTCATTAGAACTGTGACATCTGGTGACGTCATGCTTCTCTAGGATGAAACAGCCCTTTTTCATGTGTGAGCCTCTTCAAGTAATCTGTAGGATATTCAAGAATCCCTAGGTATTTCCAGGAATCCAAGTAAACCTTTCATTTCTCCGAGCTGCCTCGGTGATGAGCACCTCCACTATATTCCGGGGTACCTATAGCGAGGACAGAGCAGCCCCGGCTGACCATTGCTCCACCCAAAGCTAGTTCCCCAAACCAGAGCTCCTTTGGGAGGAGTATGAGGCAATCGGGTCAGTGCCTGGACAAGCTGGACAGTGGGGCCAGCTTTGTGGCAGAGGAGGGTAGATCCCTTTGTGCCATCAAGAAGGAAATTGAAAAACCGTCTGACCCCAGCTACGTTACTGGGGTCTTTCTCAAGCAGGATCCTGGGACACCAGTGTGAAAATCATGGCAGAATGGGTGGAGGTTGAAATGCAGATTCCAGGGACACACCCCAAACCTACTGCATTTGAGAGGTATCTTCAGATGTTCATATTTTAAGCAAGCTCTCCAGGTGAATATGGTCTCCCTAAAGTTTAGTCCTATTTTGCTAAGCACTTTCTGCCCTACCTCCAGAAGCCTCAGTCCTGAAGGAGACACTCCTCATTTTAGTACAGCCTGGGTTGGAATTGGCAGCAATGGGGTTGTCAATGTGTGTCTTCCCTCATGCCTTCAGGATCCTCCCACTGAAATTCGTGGAGCTACAAGTCTGTGACCAGCTTCAGCGCATCCTGCGGTTGAGGACCGTCACAGAGAAGATCTACTACCTAAGACTGCACTCCGACCATCCTGAGATTGTCTTCTACTTCTGGGTCCGACTAGTTCAAATTCTGCAGCGGGGCTTGTCCATCACCACCAAAGACCCTAGGATTCTCATCACTCACTGTCTGGTACCCAAGAACAGCTGCAGCCCCTCAGGAGACTCTAAGGTAAGCGGGTATCCCTGTCACCTCCGGCCAAGCCAGAGCTGAGTGGCAGGGCTTAGATGAGCTGGCATGTGAGCACCGTGTGAAGGCGATCCCTGCCTTTCACTGGGATCTATTGTACAACCACCTGCAAGATTCACTCATTGTGAGTGCGCAGCTCAACACTTAGAGGAAACGTAGAGAGCTGTGCTGCCACCAACACAACCCAGTTTCAGAACATTGCCATCCCTGAAAAAATCCCCTCCCGCCCATTTGCAGTCACTCCCTGTTCCTATTGAAATGTTTTCGGTCTCTATAAATTCGTGTTTCTCCAAATTTCATGCAAACAAAATCCTACACTATATATAGTCTTTTGTGTCTGGCTTCTTTCACTCCTTGTACGTTTTTCAGGTTCATCCATGTCATAGCATCCACAGAGTCACAGACTATCAATAATTCATTCCCTTTCATCACTGAATAGTATTCCACTGTACAGATATGCCGCATTTGGTTTATCCATTCACCAGCTGATGGACGTTTGGGGCTATTACGAATAATGCTGCTATGAACATTTGTGTGCAAGTTTTTTTAAATATATTTTTTAAAGATTTTATTTTTTTATTTTTAGAGAGGGAAGAGAGGGAGATAGGGAGAGAGAAACATCAATGTGCGGTTGCTAGGGGTCATGGCCTGCAACCCAGGCATGTACCCTGACTGGGAATCGAACCTGCGATGCCTGGTTTGCAGCCCATGCTCAATCCACTGAGCTATGCCAGCTGGGGCTTGCAAGTTTTTGTATAGACATAGTTTTCACTTGTCATGGGTAGATGACAAGAAACAAAATTGCTGGGTCATATGTTAGGTTTATCTTTAAATTGTAAAGAAACTGGCCAACTGTTTTCCAGGGGTGGCTGCACCATTTACATTCCTACCAGCATGGGAGTTTCAGTTTCTCCCCATTCTCACCCACACTAGTATTGTTTATCCTCTTGATTAAAGCCATTCTAGTGGATGTGTAATGAGTTTATTTCGGATTTCCTCAATGGCTAATGACGTTGAGCAACTTTTCATGGGCTTATTAGTCATTTATACATCTTCTTTGATGAAGTGGTATTCAAGCCTTTTGTTAAAAAGCCCATTTTTAAATTGAGTTTTGTCTTATTGAGTTGCTATAATTCTTTGTATAGTCTGGATACAAGTCCTTTATCAGATATATGATTTACAAATATTTTCTCCCAGTGTGTTAATTGTCTTTTTCTTTTCTTTTTATTTTTAAAGATTTTATGTATGTATTTTTAGAGAGGGGAAGGGAAGGAGAAAGAGAGGGAGAGAAACATTGGCTTGTGAGAGAGACACTGATCAAGAGGTTGCCTCTCACACGCCTCCTACTGGGGACCTGGCCTGCAATTCAGGCTTGTGCTCTGACTGGGAATCAAACCCGTGGGTGAGCCTTTGGTTCACAGGCCGTCACTCAACCCACTGAGCCACACCAGCCAGGGCTATCTTTTTATTTTCTGAAAGCTATCTTTTGTGGAGCAAAAGTTTTTAATTTTGATGAAGTACAATTTATCAAATTTTTTTCTTTTATGGATCTGGCTTTTGATGTTTCAGCTAAGACATCTTTGTTCAACCCAAAATCACAAATATTTTATCTTATGTTTTCTTCTAGAAATTTTATAGATTTAGCTCTTACATTTAAGTTTATGATCAATTTTGCATTACCATATGTGTGTTGTGTGAGGTAAGGGTCTAAGTTCTTTTCATTTTCACATGTCGATGTGCGATTTCCCCAGCACCATTTGTTGAAAGGACTATCCTTTCCCCTATTGAATTGTCTTGGCACTTTTGTCAAAAAACAATTGACAGTAAATGTAAGGATTTATTTCTGTACTTTCAATTCTGTTTCATTGACCTGTTTGCCTATTCTCGTACTAATACCACACTATCTTGGTTCATGTAGCTTTATAGTAACTTTTAGAATTAGTCGTTGTAAGTCTTCCAAGTTTGTTCTTTTTCACATTATTTTCACTATTCTAGATCCTTTGCATGTCCATATAAATTTTAGGATCAGCTTTTCAACTTCCAGAAAATAAGCTGCTGGAATTTTGGCAAGGACATGTTGAATTTATACATCAATTAGAAGAGAACTGCCATCTTGATAATACTGAATCTTTCAATACATGAATATGGAATCTCTTTCCATTTATTTCCATCTTCTTTAATTTCTCTTAGCAATGTTTTTGTACCTTTCAGTATACAAGCTCTGTAGTTCTTTTGTTAAATTTATTCCTAAGTATTTTATTTTGTTGATACTACTTTGAATGGAATTGTGTTTTCTTTTTTATTAATATTTTATTTATTTATTTTTAGAGAGAAGGGAATGGGGGGAGAAAGGGAGAGAAACATTAATGTGTGAGAGAAACATGGGCTGCCTCTTGCACGCCCCCAACTGGGGACCTGGCCCTCAACTTAGGTGTGTACCCTGGCTGGGAATTGAACCAGCAACACTTTAGTTCTCAGGCTGGCACTTAGTCCATTGAGTCACACCAGCCAGGGCTGAGTGGAATTGTGGCTTCTCAATTTCATGTTTGCATCGCTCATTGGCAGTATATAGAAATACAATTGATTTTTGTGTATTAATCTTGTTAATTAGCTATAGTACTTTTTGTGGGTCCCTTGGAATTTTGTGTGTGTGGTTTGTGTGTGTGTATATGTCATCTGCAAATAAAAGACAATTTTACTTCACTTCCAATTCAGATATATTTGTTTGTTTATCACCTACTGTTCTTACTAGAACATTTAGTACAATGTTTAATAGAAGTGGCAAAAGTAATAGGTGGAAAGCATTCCATTGTTCATTAAGTATGATGCTAACTGTGAGATTTTTGTAGATGCCCTGTATCAGGTTGAGGGAATTCCCTTTTATTCCTTGTTTATTGAGAGTTTTTATCATAAATAAGTATTGGATTTTGTAGAATTTTTTTCTGCATCTATTGAGATGGTCATGTAATTTGCCCTTTATTGTAGCAGTATAGTGTGTTACGTAAATTGATTTTTAGATGTTAAATCAACCTTGTGTTCCTGCAATAAATTCTACTTGGTTCATTTCCCCATATAATTCCCCATGTAATTCCCCATATAATCCCTTTTATTTGTTACATGATTTGATTTGCAAGCTTTTTGTTAGGGATTTCTCGTCTACGCTTATTAGAAATATTGGTCTGTAGTTTTCTTGTGATAGCCTGGCTTTGGTATTAGGGTGATGATGTGGGCTCTGGCTGTGGGGTCCATGTGTTGTGGCTGTGATGAACACATTCACACAGACTGCAGAAGTCCTGTGGAGAAAAAGGGATGGTATGGCCACCTCTTAAGTGAGAGAGAAGGCCCCGACCCCTGCATGGACAGGCTTTTATTGCTTTTCTGGGTTCTTTACATTGAGGATGGTCCTCATTTACTATGCATAGGTTTGCTGTAAGTGATTACCTTTTACAGATAACAAAGAAAAGAATGTTGCTAATTACTTCAAAGAGAAGGATGTTGCAGATCAAGGGGAAAAGTGGTTGAACTCGTTACACTCCATACGTGGGAGGTTTAGCACAGATTTTAGGAAGTTACTTTAAAGATATCCAGTAAACATTTGCTGTCTCAATTCAGGGTGAGAGCGTTTTAGCAAAAGCAAGCCTCAAAGCATCCCCGGTACAATGCAGGCCTGGTTTCCCACCAGAGAGCTGATCCATGGGTTTGGCTTCCTGTGTGCTGACTTGCACCTGTCCATTTTCCAATAGGGCTGGGCTGCATTCACCATACCATGCAGAACAGTTCCCTGTAGGGTAATACTTGCCTCATTGAATAATTTGGTGTTTCCTCCTCTATGTTCTGAGTTTATGAAGAATTGGTATTACTACTTCTTTTGGGAAAAGTTTTCAATTAGCAATAGTAGCACCTTGGATAAACCTCATTGTCTATGATACTGCCACTGTGCAAAGCTGGTATTACTACTTCTTTAAGTATTTAATAGAATTCACCAGTGAAGCTACCTGGGCCCTTTTGCCCCAGGCTTCAGAGAATGACGTAAGACTGACTTGAACTCAACATAAACTCCATGAATGCAGGGATTTTTATCTATGTTCTTCATTGCTCTATCCCCAGTGCCTGCCACATAGTTGACATTCAGTACAGAATGAATGAATGAATGAACATGAGCAGCTTGCTCTTCTGGAACACCTTTGGGGTATCACAGGCAACAGGAAAGAAAACAGTTTTAGCCAGGTATTAAAAGCACCTCAACCCTGGCTGGTGTGGCCCAGTGGATTGAGCACCAGCCTGCAATCTGAAAGGTTGCTGGTTCAATTCCCGGTCGGGGTGCATGCCTGGGTTGCAGGCCAGGTCCCCAGTTGGGGACGTGTACAAGCTTTCAATGTTTCTCTCTCACATCGATGTTTCTCTCCCTCTCTTTCTTCCTCTCTTCCCCTTTCTCTAAAAATAAATAATAGTATCTTTTTTTCAGAGCAGCTCAATATAGAAATTTTCTTAGGTTAATTTTTTAAACATTCATTAAATTTCTACAATAAATATTTGATTCCCCTACATTTAAATATGAAACCAAGTAACATAAGCTTTATTAAAGTATATATGAACACACTGTTTGATAACATTAATAAGAATAGGTTATCTGCTAAATTATTCAATGATAATATTATCATTAGGGCACTGAAGAATATTTATAACAATACAGGAGGCATAAGCAGATATGGTCTCAGAATTGCTGCTCTGAACCTCTGACATGGCCACTCAATGGAACAGTCTGACTTCTAACACTCTAGGGTCTGAACCATGATATTAGGAAAATACAGAAACCCTCAGGTCTTGACCAGCTGGCTTTGCTTTTTTTCTCCATCTAGTTAGTACAGGAGAAACTCCAAGCCTCCCAGACCAGCGACAGCCTCATGCAGTTGATGGCCAACGAGGAGAGTGAGACCCTCTCTCAGATTTTTGCCGACTTGCACCAGCACAACCGGTTCAGGTACATGACTTGTATCAGGCCAGCCTGACGTTCCTCCCGCAGCCCAGAGGGTCTAGCCTACGAGATCCCAAGACCTAGTAACTTGGTTAACGTGCACAGGGAGGGCATGGAGTCCTGCCCCTCGGAGCGATCCAGTGCCATCGCTGACTCAGGGCAACCTCCCCCCAGTTCTCCTCGCCTTATTCTCCTTCTCCACACAGCAAGCCTAGGAGGCTTGACTCCAGAGGAGGAATTTTATGAAAAATGTAAAGTAGCTCTTCAATAATAAGAATAAGTTAGTAACAGAGGTGAAATAGTAAAAACTAATTTCTAATCCAGGTCCTAGTCCTACAGAGAAATAAACAAAACATTGTTTAAAACCCTGTCTACTCCTGGGTTCCCTGACCTACTCACCTGACCCCCACTGGGACTTCACGTGCTTGAGGGAATAGCCCTGCATGTGTAGATGCCTTAAGGTTTCAGTTTGTGGACTGGCTGGTATGAGAGAAACAGGATTTGAGAGTCCTGAGGCCACTGGGCACCTCGACCAGAGAGCAAAGATTAAGTGGGATCCAGAGTCCTAGTGAACTTGATTTGTGGTTTCAAAGAAAAGGGAGAAGAGAAAGAAGTTGTAAATATCATCAGAAGAGAAAAATGAAGTATCCAAGGAGAGATTTTTGTCACAACACGAACCAGCAGTCCAGAGACAGGACAACAAAAAGTGCTGTTAGTACTTCTTTTGGAGTGCTGTTAGTAAGCTGGAAACCAGTAAAGGCAGCGGAGACAATCTCTCCTGGTGGATAGGAACTCACACAGGACTGGGCCCAGCTCACTGCTCTGTGAGCCCATGGGCATATTGCGTGACTCTCGTGGGCCTCAGTGTTCAGATCTGTGCAGCGGAAACTGGGATAGTGCCAGCCTCATCCAGATAGCGTCAGGGTTAAGCGAGCTCAAAAGCACAAAGTGCTTGTCACGTTCCTGAGCAGATACAGCGGCAGATTTAACCCAACTCTTAATAAATATTAGCTTGTATTATTAAGTCTGCCTTGGGCTGGAGGTAGAAAAGTATTAACACAAGGAAAAACACTTGTTATTTGTCCACAGTTAAAGAACTTACACTGAGGTCATCACTCTGCATATTGTATAGAAATCTGAAATTTAAAAATTTCCGGATAAGATGTCATACTGCTTGACCTGGGGAGTGATGGCCTCTAATAGGACAGGATATGTTGAAGTAGCTTTTTGTCTCAAAACGTTAAAAAAATACATTTCTAAAATTACTATTTGATGGATGGCTTCTGTCTATATTCATTGGCCACAATTCAGTCACATGACCACACCCAGCTGCAAGGGAGGCTGAGAAATGCAAGATTTAGATGCTTGTTTCCACGGGAGAGGGAAAGAAGAAGTCCTGGGGGCCTATTGGCCATCTCCGGCACAGACAGCTTTGAATATTTCCTGAAGGTCAGGGGAGTCTAAAGCCTAAAGGAGAAATGGGCACTAGCCCATTTGATCTGGCGATCAAGGTAGAGAATGTTGAGCAGGTTAAGGGAAAAAAATGAGTGTAAGACCGAGGCTTCACCCCGAGGAAGAAGCTAGGTGAGTTTAGAGAAAGGGAAGGAGGGCCAGGGTGGGAAGCAGAGTGGTCATGGAAGGACATTAGCAGAAGTGGGCAGGGACCGAGGCAGGCAGGACCTGGGAACCCATGCAAATATGAACTTAGACTTCAAGGGCAATGAAAGCCTTAGCACCATGTTTAACTGGGAGGTAACACGATCCAATTTACATGTTGAAAAGGTCATGCTGGCTGTTGCAGTGACAGTTGATGCGAAGAGAGGAAGTGTAGGTGCGCAGAGACCAGCCCGGAAGCTATGGCAACCCGGCTTGGGCTGTCACGTACAAAGCAGATCAGAGGGATGTGAGAAGGAGGGAAAAGTTCATTTTGGCTCAACAATTTCTTCATATAGACAGTTTCTTCTCTTCAATTCCCCAGAATGAAGGTCTGAGTGATGACTTTTCTCCTCCTTCAGGCAGGCTCGAGTCCGGTCACAATTATGTTAGTTTTTGCATGTTGACGACAATATGCAGCTTAGAGCAGATAAAATATATGCTGGGACACAGGACCAAACAGATGGAGCCACAGCCATTCCTCCTCAGCAAAATCAGCAGCAGGGGTTCTGCCCCCCATCACCCCAGTCCCTCCCATCTCCCCCTTCCCCATTTCTCCTTCCGGCATTTAACACATGCCACGCCTACCTAATAGAACCACAGCTGGCCTTTTTCAGATTTATATCTGCCTCTAAAACTCGCATCAGGAAAAAAATCTAACTAGAAACAATATTTACAATGAGAATTTCATGCTCTATTTTTTTTTTTCCTTTTGACCTTCATTTCCTTGATCCTGCCATGGCTGGAGTTCCAGGAGCAGCAAAAAGACAGAGACCAAAAAGGACAGCTCAGGTAAACGGAGGGCACGGGGCACCCATGTCTCAGAGAGCCTTCTGCTCTGGAGGTGTAGGAATGAGATGCCCTTCCAGCTCCCGATCCCAACTTTTCTAGCTGTCATGATGTCCGTCTATAGCTTTTATAGTTCGAGTTGCTCTAGGGTCTCTGACCACCAGAGTCAATTTGGCGCCAAATCATACCAATTTCTTTCTTTGAAATGTTTCCTGTACCTTTACTTCATTTCTAGCCCACAGATGTCACCCTAGTCCACCTTATCACTTCTTGCCTGGACTGCAGCAGTCTTCTCATTCATTCATTCATTTGCTTATTCAGAAATACGCACTGAGCACTTGGTAAGTGCCAGACACTGTGGAAAGCTATGGAGTTAGGATGAAGACAGACATAGTACCGCCTTCAAGGGATTTGCAATTCAGTGGAGTCAGATGGGTAACTCCCCAAATTACAAAACCTCTTCGTGTCCAGGCAGCATTCAAAGCTCATGCCTTGAGATACCACGGGAACACAAAGACAGGAGTGCAGCTTTCCTCCCAGGAAGCTGTCCAGGAGGCCTAGGGTCTGAGCCAACTCAGAGGACAAGGACAAGTGGGCGGCCAAAGCAGATGAGTCAGGGCATTCTGGGAGGATCAGAGTCTGTGTGAGAGCGCATGACGCATTCTGGAAACAGCAGCTGATTCTCTGTTCCTTTCCAGCTTTTCGTTTACCCCAAATTCACCCATTTTGGCATGCATGACTATGCACGACTCTAAATTAACTTCCCCTCTCTCACCCACCTCGTTTGGTCACTTTTTCCTCCTCAGTTAGGTACCCTCTGCCTCATCTCCTTCTCCAGTCCAAATCTTCTGCCCTGGTCACCCCCTGGCTGTTCTTCCCCATGCCTTATTCATCTCTCCCCCGCCCCCTCCACCTAAAGCTCCACTCTAAACCCTACCTGCCCTTCCAGGCACACCTCACACCGCCCTTCTGCCCAGACAAATCTTCCCTTGGTCATAACCTCTCTTAGGTGATTCCCTAATTGCTTCACAGGTTTCGGTGTTTCTTCAACCAATACTAAAGGGTTTTGGGGTTGTTTTTGTGTGCCCGTGTGTACACTTCTGAATTCTCCACAGTGGCAAGCACTAGGCTGGGAACGCAGTAGGAACTCAGTAAATATCTGTGCACCACACCAGTGATAAATTATGCCTCCAAATTGGCTCTGGAGGCAGCCAGAATTTCATGTTATATTTAAAAATTTAGAGGGATACATAGATCGTAGGGGGCTCTGCTAACTTTCATCCACACCAGGGATTATAAACTCAACTGTAGGTGGTACAAATGGGTAAAGGGTCTACATGTTATGGATCTAAGAAATGGTTGGCTTTTCTCATAACTCTATTATTAGGTAAAGCAACAGCTTGGTTTCCACATCGAGGAGACATAGCGAGTGGTAGGGACAGTGGCAATGAGAAAGTGACAGTTTCAATTAAGGCTCCAGTTCATTGTTTCCATGCCGGAACACAGGCCTGGTGTTGCCAGATACTATGATTTTTCAAGAGAAGCCAAAAATCTGGATTTTTATATGACATATCCCCGCCCATAAAAAAGTTAAAGCACAGTAGTGGGCAAACAAAACATATCTGCCAGCCAAACCCGGCCTGCTATTCCCAGCCCCCATTCTAGATAGTTCATGAAGCCGAAGCTGGCCCACATTTTCTCCAAGTCTATGAATGCTTTCTCATGTTATGTGACTGATAATAAAATGGTGATTTATTTCTGTTTTTATACATACATTCAATCTCTCTCACACACACACGCACCATACCCTTTGAGGTTGGGGTAAGGAAAACAAAAAGAACATTTCAAGTGTATTTTGGGACTTCAGAGAATTTCAGCTAGAATTTCAGTCACTGGATAGCTGGCATCACAGGAGCTACTCCCCACATGTTGCTAGGCTGGTTTCTTTTTTAAAGATTTTATTACTTTTAGGGGAAAAGAGGTTGAGAAACATCAATGTGAGAGAAACATTGATTGGTTGCCTCTCATACATGTGCAGACTGGAGACTGAACCCACAAGCCAGACAGGTGCCCTGACTGGGAATTGAACTGATAACCTTTCACTTTGCAGGATGATGCCCAACCAGCTAAGCCACAGTGGTCAGGGCCCTAGGCTAATGGCAATTAATCATCCTGGGTTGTGCTCTGGACTTTTCTCTTTCCTTGGAGCTGAAGAAACCCTTGTTTTCTATATGGGCCAAGTACTGTACACTTTCAGTCAGGATGGTCACACCTCAGCCTCTTGGAACTTTTGGATGAAGAAAGAGAGGAGGGAGGGAGAGGGAGAGAGAGAGCGTGCTATATTTGGAAAAACCAGTATCCCAAAGCTTACCTATATGGCTAGACCTTTTAACTCCCCATCAGAAGGTGGTGGAACCTACTGAAGTGCTTCCCAAAGTTAAATGCGCCATCTGGGGATCTTGTTAAAATGCAAAATGTGATTCATCAGCTGTGGATAAACTTGAAATTGTGCAATTCTTTAACCTTTTTTATTACACTTTGCATTCAACACTATCTTGCATTAGTTTCAGGTATATAGCACAGTGGGTAGACATTCATATAGGTTACAGAGCATTCCCTTGAAACTGCGCATGTCCAACATGCTCCCTGGTGATGTTAAAGCTGCTGGGCTGCGAGCCATCCTTTCAGCAGCTGAAGCCAAGTAGACCAAGAACAGGCTCTGGCTTAGGGCCATCCGTGTTCAAGGCCATTGCGAGTTCAGCTAGCAAAGGGCAAATTCACTCAGTTGACCTCTCCAAACCACAGTAGTTCCTTCCTTTTACTGGCATTGCCTTGTTCACATGACATAGTGGTAAAAAAACATGGGCTTCGGAGCCAGGCTCCCCGGCTTTGAATCCTGGCTCTGCCCCCTCGTTGTGTGACCATGGGTAGGTAACTCAGCCTTGTTGGGCCTCAGATTCCTCATCTGTAAAATGGGACCATGGCAGCACTGGCCCTTCAGGGGTTGTTGGGAGGACTAAATGAGCATTAATGCATATAATTGTTGGGAACAGTGCCTGACCCATAATAATCGCCCCACAAATGTTGGCCATAATCTGTGAGCATGCTCTGTGAATTAAGAAGACAAACAAATGCATTCTCTTTTTGACCCAGAGAAAGATGCTTCCTCTGAAGACAGCATTCCTTGCACCCGTGACCTCAGTTGGAGGGAGTCCTTCACCTGTGGAGAGTGGGAAAGAGAGAACCCCTCTGGGCCGCAGCCCCTCTCACTCCTCAGCACGTTGGCAGCCTCTACGAGGCCACAGCTGACCTTGTTCATAGGTACGGTCCTGAGATTAGTCTGGCTGCCTTCATGGGGTAGGCTTGGAGTTGGACTTCGGGCATGGGTTTAGATCCTAGGGTCCTGAGGTTGCCTCCTGGGGGCTAAGGGGTGGGAGTTGGGGGTGCCAGCCACAACTACCCAGCCCTCCCCCCCACACACACTCTGCTCTTTACCTCCAACTACGGTGAGTGAAACCCTGAGTGGGATACCTCGGAAGACCCTCGAGGCCTTGGGAGCCCCTGCCAAGTGGTTGGGAGAGGACGGAGACTAGGATGACACTGCTGTCGCACTAGAGCTGCTTTCTGTGTGCTGGGTGGAGATGTGAGGGCTGCCCCTGCCGACTTTCCATGGGCTCTTCCTTTAAGGAGGTGGGCAGCTGGCTCTCCCTTCTCCTGTCCAGAGCTCCTGGGGAGCCCCCACCATCTGCTGCAAAAAGTGAGGAGGAGCTAGACCAGAAGGGGTGGGGTGGGGTGGGGTGGGAGTCAAACTTCCCTGGGCCCAGCCCTCATCGCTCCATGCTTCAAGGCTCATCCACCCATCCATGTATTCATTTAACGAACACTCATTAACTACTTCGTACGTGTCTCTGTCTGACCAGAGACAGGCAGAGTGGTTTGTGTTTTCTGAAGTAAAATATTGTTAATAAACTACTGACTCTTACAAGATACGTGTTATTAATCGTGGACAATTTAAAAAATGAACACAAGTATCTGTGCTCACAGGAGAGCTTTTTAGGCAAGTAAGATCTGATGGAATATTTTTCTCTACCAAACTCATAGGAAATTCTATTTGAGCCGCCCTTTCACACTGGGGAGAATCTAAGCAGCCCTCACCAACACCACTCCACAGCATTCAACTTCCTGAGGGACTCTGGATGGAGAGAAGGAGAAAGCTGCAAAGAAGGAAAATCTAGAATCATCTCACACCGGTAGCATAGCCTTTCCTTGGAGACCCGTTTGGGAACGTGGTTCCAGATGAGAAGCTTTATTAACTGTGTGATCTCACCACCGCACATCCCCACACCCCACCTCACCTCACCTCACCTCCGCTCCACCACCAGGCAGGCGCAAGAAGACATGCTCTCTGAAGGGCCAGGACGGAGGGAGAGAGGAAGAAGGAGAGGGAAGCAGGACCAGAGGAGAGGTGGAGGAGAAGAAAATGGAGGAAAAGAGGGAGGTGGAAGGAGGAAGCCAGAAAAGAAAGGAAATACAGAGAGGTGGGAAGAGAAGGAAACAGAAGAGACTTGAGAGAGAAGCTGAAGGAAACAAGAGGAGAAATACACCTCTGAGAGACGCCTTACCAAGCTTCTATTTATCTAATTTAAGACTTGAGAGACCATATACCAAAAAAGAACCATGTTTTCTTCTCTGCTCACACTACTCTGGACAAGTAGGAGGGGCCAGATATGAATTCTAGCCAAGGGCCTCTCCACTTCCCTTTTTGCCAGTTTTTCTTATTCGTCCCTCTTTTTCTGATTCAAGCTCGGACCTCCTTCCTTAGTCCATTGCCTGACTTGGACTTGCTGACCTGGCCCTGGGGTTCCAAAGGGAGGCCTGGGCTTGAGGCCGCGAGAAGGTTCCTGCAGGAGGTAGTCAGACAAGGTGCGTGAGACGGGGAGTTTCTCTTTGGTGGCCAAACTTGCTCAAGTTGCGAATGTCTCAGCCCGACAAACACTGGCTCCGTTTCTTTTGCGTATGACGCCCCCTTGCACCGCCAACACACCTTGTAAGTGCTTGGTAAATGATCAGTTCCAACGAGAGAACACAGAGGCTCAAAGCTGGAATAAAATCAGAGGCTTGTAAATTATAGATCAAGAGAGTCAGTATGGAGGGTCTGTTAGATGGCCCATGGACCAGCCTCTCTCTCACTGTGCAATATTTCACATTCAATAAAAACCAGACTATGAGCACTTCAGAAAGGCTGCCCAGTCTTCCCATTGGAAAGTGTTTTTTGGACATCTTGCTTTGATTTAGGATTTCCCAGGAGGGTCTTTTTCTGCACTGAAGTGGTTTTCAGGCTGAAGCTGTTGGAGGGCTAAAAAGTAAGCTCCTAGATCACTGTCACTCGTTTCAAGGATGAGTTGGGTTCTCATTCTTGGTGGTTTCGATATCCACAGCGATGGTTCTTCCCACGGTTGCTGTTCCTTGAACTGCTGCCCGATGGTTCCTTGAACTGCTGCTCCACTCTCTTCAGCCACGGACTCCCCTGATTTTACCCTAGTTCGTCAATCACTATACCCCCGCCCACTATTCCCGTTCTCTAGCTACGCTACCTCCTAATTTTCCCTGAGTCCAACAATCCTTCAACCCCATCAATCCTACAGCCTGTTGCTCCTTCTGGGTTTTCACTGTTCCCCACTTTCCTTATGTTCTCATTCCCCTCCCCTCCAGCCTGGATTCCATAATGAATCATTATTATTACTTCCTGCATGCACCCCCTACACCTTTGTGTCTCTTCCACATTAGTCTAGTCACTTGGCTAAGTCCAACCACCCACCAACTCTGTGCCTTCACCATACCTCTAAACCTGCCTGGAAAAAAACATGTGACATACTAACCAGCCATACTTCAAAGTCATAACCACAAGCATCAGAAGGGTCCTTAATGTTGCCTGGAGATTATATGGTGTTTCCCTTATCTATTTCCTCTGCTGAATGGTAATTTCATACCTTTTCTCTCTTTAAACCCCCAGTGCCCCCTGATCACCCACTTTCCCAGTTCATTGAGAACATAAGACCATGAAAAGACAACTCCAAGCTCTCACTACCCTGTCTACCATTTACCTGGAATCAGAACCACAGATCTTATTTCTTTCCTCGCTGAAATGGAAAAACTATCTCTGCTCTAAGCAAAGTCCAGCTCTCCCCCTTTGGTACTAGATCTCTTCCCACTCCCCTACTCAAGGACATTGCCCTAGAAACTCTCCCTTCTTTTTCCTACACCATCGATTTGATCCTCACTCCTAGATCCTTCCCACCAGCAATAAACAAAGATAAAACATAATGCCCTGGCCAGTGTGGCTCAGTCAGTTGGAACATCATCCCATAACTGAAAGGTTGTAGGTTCGATACCTGGTCAGGGCACATACCTAAGTTGCAGGTTCAATCCCTGATTTGTGCACCTATGGGAGTCAACCAACTGATGCTTCTCTCTCAGTTGATGTTTCTCTCTCCCTTCCTCTCTCCCTAAAAGCAATAAAAAATTGTCCTCAGGTGAGGGTAAAAAAATAAACTAAAATTTCTCTTGGCTTCTATGCTCCATTTTTCTCCACCCCTTTTTGGTAAACTCTTTGAAAGGGTTTCCAGTTTCTTGCTTCCCATTCTCTCTTAAACACCTCCAGCAGGTTTTTGCACCCACTATCCCACCAAATCTGATCCCCGGATTGCTGGAGTCAATGGCTAACCCCTCACTCTTAGGGGCATGTGACATGAGATTACTCCTTTCTCCTTGCAACACTTTCTTCACTTGGCTTCCAGAACACTGCACTCTCCTGGCTTTCCTCCTCCTCCACTTATTCTCAGTTTATTCTCGGGCTTTTATTCTCCATTTCCTTTGCTGATTCACTCTCATCAACACCCCTCCACCTCCTCTGAAAATTAGAAATTTCCATGACTCAGTCCTTGGGTCTCTTCTCGTCAAAACTCCTGGCTTTCATACAACATATATACCAATTACTCCCAACATCTCCAGTCCAGACCACCGTGAACTCCAGAGATACCTATCCAGCTGCCCACTTGAGATCTCCGTCTGAAAGTCTGATAGACATCTCAAAGTACCTATAACTAATCTCTCAATATCATCTCTCAAAATTTGCTCTCCCCAAAGTCTTCTCCATCTTGGTTTTCTAGTCAAAACCTTGGAGTCATTCTTGATTCCTGTTGTTTTCTCCATCTCATTTCCAATGTATCAGGAAATCCTTTTAAAGTACTTTCAAAATGTATTCAGATTCTGACTCTTCTCAGTATTTCCGCGGCTACCACCCTGGACCAAGTCATGTTCGTCATTACCTGATTGTTGCACGGCCTCATAAGTGGGCTCCTTGTTTCCACATTCAAGCTCTTCTTAGATCACGTCACTTCTCTGCTCAAAAGCTTTTGATGGCTTCCTACCTGTATTAGGGTAATGTTAGCTATGTAAGAGATAAGCCCCACTGTATCAATGGCATAAAATAACAAGTGGAAGTTCATTTTCCCCTCATGAAAGTCTAAAAGGGTGGTCCTGTCCAGTAAGTGTCTGTGTAACCGGAACCCGGGTTCCTTCTATCTTGTGATTCTGTCATCAGCACTACATGGCTTTCCAGGTGGCCACAGAAAGAGAAAGAATTCGAAGACTCGCACATGGCAGATTTGTACAGCCAGTACTGGAAGCGGTGGGCATCACTTCTGCCTCTCTTCCTCTGGTCAGCGCTCAGTCACATGGCCACAGAAAAAGGGAGGCTGGGAAATGTAGTCTGGCTGTATTCACAGGAGATGAAGAGGAAACAGTTTGGTAGTTAGCCAGTTTCTTCCAAACCATCTTATTCATAGTAACAGCCAAAGTTTTACAATGGCCTGAAGGTCCTACACGGTCTCCCTCCTCCTTTGACTCCATGCCTGCTACTTCTCTCTGACCTCAGGTCACATGACCTCAGACATTCCAAGGTGCTTCGGCTCAGGGCCCTTGCCCTTGCTGTTCCCATTTCCTGGAATGTTCCCCATCACCTGATGTTCACTCACATGACACCTCGATGAGCCTTCCACCCTTTCTAAGGTTGCAACACCACTCCTGACAGTCCCTTTTCTCCTCCCTGCCTTATTTTATTCCTTGGCACCTATTAACACCTTTTATTGTGCATGTTTTGCTTTTTTATTTTGTTTATTGGCTGCATACCAGAATATAAGCACCATGAGAGAGTTTAGTCCATTTGTTCACTGACGTATCCCCAGTGCCTAGAACAGTGTCTGGCACACAGGAAACGATACACTCATTTGTGGAGTGAATGTTCAGAAGCACCGCATAAGCAGAGTTGGGGTGCCTAAAGAAGAACATCAGCCTTCTGAAGCTGACATCATCCCAGCTGCCACACACAGTCCTTCAGTGTTCTCAGAGGCAGAATCCAGGGCTAGAAGGCCTTGGGTGCGGCCGAAGTGATACCTCCTATGAGTATCAGCCACCAGAGTACTTTTCCTCCTCCAACTACCTTCTAATCCTGGTCCCCCAAAGAGGCTTAATCTGCTTTTCTGTCATCAGAAAGCTCATTTGTTCTCATGGCTTCGTCAGATGCCCCCTGTCAATGACCCTCCTAAGTATCTCCTCTGGCCTACTGGCTCACTCTTTTATTTGTCTCTTCCTTCCTCCCCCTTCCAGTTTCTTCCTTTCTTCCTTCCTTCCTTTCTTTCTTTCTTTCTTGACTTTCATTAACAAGTGCTTATAGTTTGTTGACTTTTTTTAAAAAATCAAGTTGTAAACTATTACTACAAATTAAAACTGAGGTTCTTAAAAATCACAACCATCTATGAAACAATTTTAAAAACTTTAAAGATGTATTGAGAAACCCCCTGCTTTAAAATAAAAGCACACTTGTCATTACCAAAAAGAGACATCTTTAGGTAAAAATAATTTTAAAAACTCATGCTGCATGGATAATGGAGATAGTTCTAGTCATCTGGTCAACAGGCAAAAAGCAAGCACTTAAGGTCTTCAGCTCCAATCCTTTGTTCATTTCTTTTTAATTTAAAAAAATTATTGTTGTTCAAGTACAGTTGTCCCACTGTTTTCCCCATATTCTTCCCTACCCCATTCCCCTGACTCCCACAGTCAACCCTCCCTCCCCCATTGTCCATGCTCATGAGTCCTCTATTCCGGTTCCTCGGCTTGCCCCTTTCCCTTCTTTTTCTTTAATATGTTTTATTGATGATGCTATTACAGTTGTCCCATTTTTTCTCCCCTTTATTCCCCTCGGCTCTGCAGCCCCTCCCACCATCATTCCTCCATCTTAGTTCATGTCCATAGGTCATACATATGTTACTTGGCTTCTCCATTTCCCATATTATTCTTAACCTCCCCCTGTCTATTTTATACCTACCATCTATGCTTCTTATTCTCTGTACCTTTTCCCCATTCCTGTCCCTTACCTCCCCGCTGATAACCCTCCATGTGATCTCTATTTCTGTTCCTGTTCTAGTTGTTTGCTTAGTTTATTTTTGTTTTTGTTTTGTTTTGTTTTTAGGTTCAGTTGTTGATAGTTGTGAGTTTATTGTCATTTTACTGTTGTTTTTTTATCTTCTTTTTCTTAGATAAGTCCCTTTAACATTCCATACAATAAGGGCTTGGTGATGATGAACTTCTTTAACTTGACCTTATCTGGGAAGCACTTTATCTGCCCTTCCATTCTAAATAATAGCTTTGCTGAATAGAGTAATCTTGGATGTAGGTCCTTGCCTTTAATGACTTTGAATACTTCTTTCCAGCCCCTTCTTGCCTGCAAGGTCTCTTTTGAGAAATCAGCTGATAGTCTTCTGGGAACTCTTTGTACATAACTGTCTCCTTTTCTCTTGCTGCTTTTAAGATTCTCTCCTTATCTTTAATCTTGAGTAATGTAATTATGATGTACCTTTGTGTGTGCTTCCTTGGGTCCAAGTTCTTTGGGACTCTCTGAGCTTCCTGGACTTCCTGGAAGTTTATTTCCTTTGCCAGATTAGGAAAGTTCTCCCTCATTATGTTTTCAAATAAGTTTTCAATTTCTTGCTCTTCCTCTTCTCCTGGCACCCCTATGATTCAGATCTTGGAGTATTTAAAGTTAACCCAGCTCTGGCTGGTATGGCTCAGTGGATTGAGTGCAAGTCTGTGAACCAAAGGGTCCTGGTTCAATTCCCAGTCAGGGCACATGCCTGGGTTGCAGGCCAGGTCCCTGGTAGGAGACATGTGAGAGGCAACCACATATTGATGTTTCTCTCCCTTCCTTCCCCTCTCTCTAAAAATGAATTAAAATTTTTAAAGAAAAAAA